CAGGCCGCGCTTCCCTCAGGCCTCGCCCCCCTCAGGCCGTGACCCCCTCGGGCCTCTCCGGCCCCTCAGGCCCGGTACCTGGCGCTCCCGGGGCGCTCCCCGGCTGCCGCTCCCGTTCCCGCTGCGGATCCCGATCCCGGTTCCCGTTTCCCCGTTCCCGATCCCGTTCCCGGTTCCCGATCCCGATCCCGGTCCCGCTCGGGCCCCTCAGCGGCGCCGCTTCCCCTCCGCCACTTCCTGCTTGGCCCCCCCGCCCCGCCGGCCGCTCGCGACCCGCGCTCCCGCCCCCAGCCGGCTCCCCCATTGGCTGAACCGACTGTCACTCATCGAGAAACACACTTTGATTGGCTTATTCCGCTGTCACTCAAGGCTGGTCGCGGATATCCGCACTCCCCATTGGCTGAGAGGTGACCAGCCTCCCTCGCAGGGAGTGTTGATTGGGAAGCGCGGGTGTCATTCAACGCGTGAAGCCCCGCCCATTGCGCCGTCGTTGGTTCCTATTGGTGAATATCGCCGGTGTATCTCCCTGCTGATTGGCTGAAAGCGCTATCAATCAATTAACCCCGGCTTTTCTCGCTTGTGATTGGTTGAAGCGCGCTGTTCGTCAAGCGCGGGTTCCGGCCGTCATTGGCCTCAGGGCGCGTCTATGGCGGTGTCTCCCCGCCTTGGGCTCCTATTGGGCGCGGGATTTGTCCCTCAGCCCCGGGACCCGCCCACCCCGGTCCCGCAATGGCGTCAATGCCTCCTCCCATTCGCTGCCAGCGCTGTCACTCACAGAGAGGGGGCTAAGAGGATGCCCCGCCCACATCCGCCTGTCGCGCGATGCCATTGGTGGAGAGCACTGTCACTCAAAGCCACCTCTCTCTCCCATTGGCTAGCGCGCCCTAAAGCCCGCCAAGCCCGTTCCTGCCGCTCATTGGTCCAGGGAGCTGTCACTCTGAGTAGCCCACACCCTCCTCCTCCTCTTATTGGCCGTCCAAACAACAACATCCGTTCTTTACCTCCGCTGATTGGCTAGTCATTTCTGTCCATCAACAGCCAATCCCCGCCCCTCGGCATCGCTGTAAACAACCCGCGGGGGATGCCGGGAGCTGCTGCAGGGGGCGGGGCCATCGCGGCCAAGCCACGCCCCCGGACACGTGACACCAGTAACACCAGTACAGGGGCTCCAGGGTCCCATTGCTCCCAGTACAGAGATCCCAGTTCCCCCAGTCCAGGGGGATTCCTGCTCCCAGTTCCCCCATTCTCGAGAATTCCAGAGTTCCCGTTTCCCCATTATCTCCATAAGGAATAATCCAGTTTCCCGTAATTCCATAAGGAATTCCAGGGGCCCAGTGACCCCTCCCAGTTCCCCCAGTCCAGTGGGATTCCTGCTCCCAGTTCCCCCATTCCAGGAAATCCCCATTCCCGCATTCCAGAGAATCCCAGTTCCCTCATTCCAGGGAATCCCCATTCCAGACCATGCCCCCACCCCAAAGGACAGAAAATCCCAATCAAATCCTTTTATTTCCCAATTCCACCGTTTGTTTCCCTGGGCTCCTCCCAGGCTCGTTCCCTCATTTCTTGTCCTCGTCCTTCTTGTCCTTGCTGTCCTTGGTGGCCTGCGAGGCCAGCGAGCCCATGGCGTTCCTGATGGCCTCGTTGTTGGGGTCCACGCCNCGGGGCGCTCCCCGGCTGCCGCTCCCGTTCCCGCTGCGGATCCCGATCCCGGTTCCCGTTTCCCCGTTCCCGATCCCGATCCCGGTCCCGCTCGGGCCCCTCAGCGGCGCCGCTTCCCCTCCGCCACTTCCTGCTTGGCCCCCCCGCCCCGCCGGCCGCTCGCGACCCGCGCTCCCGCCCCCAGCCGGCTCCCCCATTGGCTGAACCGACTGTCACTCATCGAGAAACACACTTTGATTGGTTCATTCCGCTGTCACTCAAGGCTAGTCGCGGATATCCGCACTCCCCATTGGCTGAGCGGTGACCAGCCCCCCTCGCCGGGAGTGTTGATTGGAAAGCGCGGGTGTCATTCAACGCGTCGGGCCCCGCCCATTGCGTCGTCGTTGCTTCCTATTGGTGAATATCGCCGGTGTATCTCCCTGCTGATTGGCTGAAAGCGCTATCCATCAATCAACCCCGGCTTTTCTCGCTTCTGATTGGTTGAAGCGGGCTGTTCGTCAAGCGCGGGTTCCGGCCGCCATTGGCCTCAGGGCGCGTCCATGGCGGTGTCTCGCCGCCTTGGGCTCCTATTGGGCGCGGGATTTTTCCCTCAGCCCCGGACCCGCCCACCCCGGTCCCGCAATGGCGTCAATCCCTCCTCCCATTCGCTGCCAGCGCTGTCACTCACGGAGAGGGGCTGAGGGGATGCCCCGCCCACATGTACCTGTCGCGTGATGCCATTGGTGGAGAGCACTGTCACTCAACGCCACCTCTGTCTCCTCGCTCTCCCATTGGCTGGAGCGCCCTAAAGCCCGCCAAGCCCGTCCCTGCCGCTCATTGGTCCACGGAGCTGTCACTCTGCGTAACCCCCACCCTCCTCCCCATCCTATTGGTCGCCCGAATGACAACATCCATTCCTCCCTCCGCTGATTGGCCAGTCATTTCTGTCCATCAATAGCCAATCCCCGCCCCTCGGCATCGCTGTAAACAACCCGCGGGGGATGCCGGGAGCTGCTGCAGGGGGCGGGGCCATCGCGGCCAAGCCACGCCCACAAGCATGTGACACCAGTTCCCCCAGTACAGGGGCTCCAGGGTTCCATTGCTCCCAGTACAGAGAGATCCCAGTTCCCCCAGTACAGGGGGATTCCCGCTCCCAGTTCCCCCAGTCCAGCAGGATTCCCGCTCCCAGTTCCCCCATTCTCAAGAATCCCAGAGCTCCAGTTTTCCCATAACAAGGAATCCCAGGGGCCCAGTTACCCCTCCCAGTTCCCCCAGTCTAGTGGGATTTGCACTCCCAGTTCCCCATTCCAGGGAATCCCAGTTCCTCCATTCTGGACAGTTCCAGTTCCCCCATTCCAGGGAATTCCAGGGACCCAGTGACCCCTCCCAGTTCCCCCAGTCCAGTGGGATTCCTGCTCCCAGTTCCCCCATTCCAGGGAATTCCCATTCCCCCATTCCAGGGAATTCCCATTCTTCCATTCCACGGAATCCCCATTCCCCCATTCCAGGGAATCCCAGTTCTCCCATTCCAGAGAATCCCAGTTCCCCCATTCCAGGGAATTCCCATTCCAGATCATGCCCCCACCCCAAAGGACAGAAAATCCCAATCAAATCCTTTTATTTCCCAATTCCACCGTTTGTTCCCCTGGGCTCGTTGCCTCATTTCTTGTCCTCGTCCTTCTTGTCCTTGCTGTCCTTGGTGGCCTGCGAGGCCAGCGAGCCCATGGCGTTCCTGATGGCCTCGTTGTTGGGGTCCACGCCYGGAAGGTTCTCCAGGACGCTCTGCAGGAACTCGGGGTCCTGCATCACGTCGTAGTCATCCTCCTCCTGTGGGGGAAATTGGGATCAGAGGGGTTCTGGGGATCCATGGGGTTCTGGGGGATTAATGGGGTTCAGGGGGATCCATGGGGTTCCAAAGGATCCATGGGGTTTGGGGGATCTGGGGGATCCATGGGGTTCTGAGGGATCCATGGGGTTCTGGGAGATCTGTGGGGTTCAGGGGGATCCATGGGGTTCTGGAAATCCATGGGGTTCTGGGGATCCATGGAATTCTGGGGATCCGTGGGGTTCTGGGAGATCTGTGGGGTTCTGGAAATCCACGGGGTTCCGAGGGATCCTTGGGGTTCTGGGAGATCCACAGAGTTCTGGGGATCCACGGGGTTCTGGGGGATCCATGGCATGGGAAGGATGGGAATGGGCTGGAAAATGCTGGAATGAGCTGGAAAATGCTGGAACTATCCGGGAACTCTCACCTTGGTGGGCTCGGACGTGTCCATGGCCGTGCTGCTGTCCACCTCGGCCGCCTCTGCTTGGGCAAACTCTGCAAAAACCCCAAAAATCCATGGGAACCCCTCCCCAGGACCCCCCGGTGGGGATTATCGAGGTTTGGGGTGGCAGCGGCACCCACCGGCGCCCTGCAGGGACATCTGCATGGCGTAGGCGATCTGCTCCTCCTCCGTCATGGAGCTCAGGTCCGGGATGCCGGCGCGGCCGAACTCCTGCTGGCTGATGGTCATCTTGAGCAGGGCATCGTCCGACTCTGGCAACGGGGGAATTTG